GTGGGTCCAAAGTTGTATTAATAATCTAACTCATTTTTATGTAAAAATGTATCTATACGTGTTGCATAGCCAGGCTTAGGACAAAGACTGGAGGCATACACATCACATTTAACAATGGCTATCTCTAGGGGCGCCTGGGTGGCTCAGTCATTGGGTGTCTGCCTTCGGCTCAGGTCATGATCCCAGGGTCCTGGGATCGAGTCCCGCATCGGGCTCCCTGCTTGGCAGGAAGCCTGTTTCTCCCTCTCCCACTCTTCCTGCTGGGTTCCCTCCCTTGCTTTCTCTCACTCTGTGAAGTGAATAAAAAAAATCTTAAAAAAAAAGAGGTCCAAAAAAATTTAAAAAAAACAAAAAAACAATGGTTATCTCTAGGTGGTAATGTTATGGGTGATTTATCTCATTTGGTGCTTTCCTCTATTTTTAAATGTTCTACAAAGAGCATCTATTACCTTTTTAATGAGAAGAAAATGTGCTTTTAAAATAAAAGCGTTGCAGCTAGATGTGCAGCTTTGAACACTTCCTGAAATCTTACAGAATTCTGGAAGAAGGAAACACAAGACTCATGGAAACCAAACTATCTCTCGTTCAAGAGGATGAAACCAGGTCTAGAGAATGAAAGTGACCTGGCCGCCGTGGCCCAGCTGGTTAGTGGCTGGGCTGTGAGAGACCCCAGGTCTCCAGGCTCTCGGACCAGAGGGCTTTGAAGTGTTCCATGCTTTCCAGCGACCTGCCTCCCTTCCTTCCCGCCCTGTGAGGGTGACGGAAAAACCACAGGAAGTGCACTGATTCTGAGGGTGGAGAAGTATGTAATAGCCTTTGCAGAGAGGACTTTGCAGCTCTCATTATTCTCTCTCTGGGAGTTAGTAGGTCATTTGCAAAAGGCATGGGAAGAGCAGCTGATGAAAAGGTCTAATAGTTTGGAAAACTGCTTAACCTTATTTCTCTATTTCTGGATTTCCCCCCATGGCCAAGGACTGTTGAGATCCTGATTTCCCCCGGAGGTTTCCTGTTTAGGAATGCAGTGAAACCTCTGAAATCCAGAGGAATTGGGGAGAAGGCCAGCTGGAATTAGGGAACGGTCTGAATACTTTTTAAGAACATTCAGGTCTATTGTTTTCAAGGACATGGAGACACAGATTTGGAAGGAGCTTAGTCCAGCCCCTGCTTGGTGCAGGAACCCTTTGTGCTTCATCCCACACAGAGCTTTATTTGGGCTTCTCTTGAATGCTTCCAGTGACAGGAGGCTCACTCTTCTGATAGATAACCTATTTTGATCTTAACCTATTTCGGTCTTTTTTTCACCTGGGCTGGGAATCTACCTTCCTCTAAGTTTCTGCTTGCCTTCTGGTGTGCATATAAAATTGATGTACTCCTACTGGGTTTTATGCACAAACAATGAATCATGGAACACTACATCAAAAACTAATGATGTAATGTATGGTGATTAACATAACAATAAAAAAATTGATGTGCTCCTTTCCCCCCAGATGGTCCTTAAATATGTGAAGGCAGGTACCATGCATCAAATAGGTCTTCACAACGTTCTCCTCTGCCAGCCGACCACCCCCAGGATACTCAATCATTATTTATATGACAAATGTCATCCGTTCTAGTTAGAATTATGAACTACTGGCTGTACTTAGCTTCTAAATTAATGGCTATCTGAATTCATACTTGAGTGGAGCTTAGAGACCCCCTGCACTGGCCTCATGATTTTACAGATGAGCAAACTGAGGTCCACTGAGGAAAACGGCCTGACCCAACATGGGAGAGAGAGAGAACAAGCCTGAGTGGAGACCTGAAACCTATCTGCCTGAATCCCAGATCAGGCCTCTTTTTACCTTACCCTGCCTCCTATTATTCAATAAGATACCAGTATTTCTCAAGCCCTTGAGAGTGCTTGGGAAGTTTGTTCTCTTAGGTATTTCAAAAATGGCTCCTTCAAATTGTATTTGCACTGTCAGTGAAGGAGGGATTAGCGCAGGGCAGAATTTCATGGACGTGATACTGTCCGTGAAAAGTCTCGTTCCAAGTGCATTCACTATCCTTGCTCTCCGCTGTCAGAAGACCATCTCCCTGGCCCTGGAAGGCGACTGCTCAAAATGAACAGCACCCCTGAGAGGGCCGCCTCGGCCTGCCACATTTCCCATCAGGTCCCAGCTGCCCGCTCCATTTCCGAGAACTTCCTAACTTCGGAACCAAAACTGAATTCGGGATGTGAGGCTGGCTGTGTTTCTGCTCCACCCTGGTGCTCCTTTTAAAGTTTCAGATCCTCTTTTCAGCGTTGCCTGATTCTCAATGAAAAGACAAAGCAAAGGCTCGGAGAAACAAACTAGGCACTTGGGTGATTGGTTTCCTGTCCCAGTCCCCGGCAGCCCTGCAGTCACATGCTTCGAAGGGCACATTCCTTCCTGCCCCAGCCCACAGAACCTCCCTCTTCTCTCAGCAAGGTATTGCGTTTCAAGCTCTTACACTCTTTCTGGCATGGATTATGAGCTGCCTTGGGCTGCTTCCTGGTCTGTAGGGGTTTGGACTCACGGGGACCCGGGTTCCAGTCCTGACTGCAGCTCGCCAGTTTGTGCAGCTTTGGAAAGTTACTTAATCTTTCTAAGCCTCTGTCGTCCCATTTGTTAGGAGAGGACAATTATCTTGCCTACATCATAAGGCTGTCCAGATGATGTAATGCCTAAAAAGGTGTCTAGCACTGTCCCGATCATTTAGTAAGATTCCATAAAAGGGATCTGTTTAGTATTATTCATCTTCTGCTACAGAAGGTAGAGATTGAAGCCTCTACTCTTCTCACGCTGCTCACAGTAGGTGCTCCATAAATGCCCCTGACTGATTCTAGCCTGCGCTTCTTTTGGTAGTAGTTTCACCAGAACTATGCTAAGCGTTGCGTGACACCAGGTCCTACTTCCAAGCCCCCTTTGCCCCAGATTCCTTCCCCTGGTGGTGACCTCAGTGGGGAGGCCCACCCTGATCCGCCACTTGGAACACCTGCCAGCTTGTATCTCAGGATAAGGTTCTCGTTTGACAGATTCTGAGAACTTGCTGTCCAGGCAAAGAAAACTTTATGATGATGAATCCAACACAAACCTTATGTAACCAACCTGTCAGCAAATGGAGGGACAGAGGGACACCGACAAATGCCTGCCCACCTCCCCCCACCCAAAGCGCAAAACAAAAGATGACAGAAAGCAAGGGATCGAGACCTGCCTAAAATGCCTGTTTGTCAAGACCCTTAAAACCGATCAAAGTTTTTATATTAAAAGGATTCCTAAAGGAATATGGCTAAACTCCCTTGTACCTGAATTTTAACTGAAATTACATTAGATGCTTCTCTAACCAAAAGAATATATATACAACATTTTTTTTAAAACAATGTTTATTGTCCACGGGACTTACAGCGATGACAGAAAAGTTTACAACAATTTCTACTTGAAATTTCTACCTGGAGTGGCTTGGAATTCCTGGTGGGCTAAGGAATCTTGTAGCTTCCCCCTAAACACTGAGGATATCCTAGTAGACTCTTGCTGAGTAAAAGAACAATTCTTTCTCTTGCCCCTATTGCGGATTATTTGGTCATTGCCTGAATTTTGTGCTAAGGACCTGAGAGCAATAAAAACATCCACTGAAAGGAGTTTGTTATATGACAGCCCCAGGGAAAAGCTTCCACAATTGAGGGTGAGGACAGAAGTCAATGACCATGCGGTGGAGGGAACACAGCAGTTCCTGGAGTAACAGCCGGCAGTTGGCTTCTCCGGCTGTAGCCCGTCTCTCACATCCTTGGCTTCTTACCTTGGGCAGGTCATTCCCCCCTCACAGATTTTTCATCTCCTCGGATGCCCAATGCTTTCTATGGGCTCTTGCAGGTCCAAGATCCGGTGAGGCCACCAGGAGGGTGAAGATTAGCTGGAGAAGCGGCCCACACCTCTGGGTCGGGGGCCCAGAGCAGGTGGAGAATGTGAGAAGGGGCAGGTAAGCCCTTGGAGAAAAAGCAAAAGTGCTGAAGGGCAACCACTTTCCCATTTGTCATGGCACGTTCCAGAAACTCGGACACCTAGCTTTCTCCCGAGAGCTGAGTGTGCACCCGGACACCCATCACTGAGCTGACAGGAAGCAGAGGAAGCCAATGCTTTTCTGGTTGGGGACCTTGGCTGGGACAGAAGGGAAGAAAGAAGTGGAGTCAGCTTCAGGAGCGGGTGAAATGGCAATGAACCTGCAGGCTGATCCTCTCCAGGCTGGCGTTGCCGAGGAGGACGTTCCACTCTGTCAAACCTGGGCCAAGTTCTGGCTCAGGCACACAGGCAAAAATAGAAAGGGGGTGGGAGAAGAAATGTGTTTACTTTTGTGATTTTCCCTCCTGTGCCTCTTCACAGTATTTGAATCTCTCCACAAAAAAGCAGTAGGACTCCCAGGCCTGGCCTCCACGGATAAGCCCTACCAAACACTGCACGTCCCCCGCCCCCAAATACAGTCATTGTTGGGGCGGCTGGAAGGTGAGTTCGGAAGGCAGCATGGGGGGTGGAGGGAAGAGCGCTGGCCCGGGGTCTGTCACTAACTGGGCGACCCATGGAAAATCCCTCTCGGATGCTCTGCAAAATCAAGTGGTGGCATTAGACAGAATCTAAAAATCTAAACAGATTTCTATCTGTGGTTCTCAACCAGGGGTGACTTCACCCCTCGAGGAGTATTTGGCAAGGCCTGGAGACATTTTTGGTTGTCACAATTCAGAGGGCGCTCCTGGCATCTAATGGGTAGAGGCCAGGGATGCTGTTGAACGTCTGACCACACACAGGACGGCCCCCCACCACGGAGCATCATCTGGCCCGCAAGGTTAATAGTGCTGAGGCTGAGAAGTCTGGCTTTATACCCGAGTGAGGAGGGTCAAAGGGAGAGAGGGAAAAGAGACAGAAGTAAAGAAGGAGGAGGGGCTGCAGTCCCCTTCCGAGCTCACGAGGTATTCATTGGGTAAGTGTTTTCCAGCTTTCTCCCTATGACCAGTGCCCTTTTCAGTTTCCCTTGGAATTACCCGGCTGTGTTCGAGTGGCTTGCTCATAAGAGCTTCTTTCTTATCTTTAAAATACCAAACCCTGACGCAGTGCAAAGATCTCCACTATAAGATGCAGCCAATATATAACAAAAGCAGCTATTAAACAAGTAGGACTGGAAGATGGGTGGCAGGGGCGCACAGAGGGACAAAACAGATGCCCATAAGTCCATTTCTATGAGTCAGTGTTTCTGCTGTAACAACAGAGTCATCACCATAGGACCTGCGAGACAAGCTATGCTGACGGCAGGCAGAACTGCTCTGAGGCACTGGCATTAGGAGGAGATACAGGTTTGCGGCGGCAGATTCAAAGGCAAAGGAAAGGGTTAAGCAATCAGTGCATGCCATTCCTGTATCATTCCATATTAAGTCCCTGGGCAGTTATTACAAATAGTTACCTGCGGTTTCCAGTGGGGGAGGCGACCACACTCCGGTCAAGGGGTTTTGGAGAAACAGGTGCAATGAAGTCATGGTCAAACAATTTATTTACTGTAAACTTTAGACTTTGCTCAGGAACACAACTGAAGTTGCCCCTCAAATCCCTGCCTACAACACCCTGTTTGAGCAAATAAGAGGAGCGGGGAGAGTCCGTGTTCACAGCTGAAAGGTCCAAGATACTCAAGGTCCTCCAGTGCAAGGGTGCAGGAAGGAAAGACTCCTTCACATACAAATTACCAGCAGCAATATATATTACCCCTAATACTTGACCAATGAGGTAGATCCACAGAAAAGTCATCAAAACATAGCAGCCCCAGGTCCTCTGGGACTGAAGCCCTTCAGACACAACTTGACACATTCCATGAAAAAAAAGGAACTGAACTGTACAAGAAACAATCACTCGAATATGCTTTCTCTTTTTTACAGCTTAAAAAAATAAAAAAAGGCAGAAGGCTGTCCTTCCTCCTGCACATCTCTATACAATTTTATTCTAAATGTATTACACTCAAGTTAAATAGTCTGTTTAGTGTTTTGTTGGGGGGGGATTCATAAAAAGTAGAAAAACTGCATTAGAGCAGTGAGTCGTTTGTACTACAATTCCTCCCTTGCGAATCAATGCTATCGTTAGGCACAGTACCTTGACGGTTCACAAGGTCTTCCGTGCCTGGGGGGTCCTCACACAGCAGTTCGCTGTCTTTCTCCTGCCCCAGGTGACATCCACTGTGCTCCCCAGCATAGTCGGTTCTGCTGTTACTGTTGTTGGAGTAGCCATTCCCACAGGCCTTCAGAGAAGACCTACGCAGGCACAGAAGCTCCTGGAAGGCAATCCTGAAGTCTGGGCTCCGGCAATAGATAAGGGGATTGAAAGCAGAGTTGACATAGCCCACCCAGTTTAGAAGGATGTAAACTTCCTTGGGGATGAGGTTATCCTGGATCACGTGCACTATGTTGACGATGAAGAAGGGCAGCCAGCATAGGGTGAAAGTGCCCATGATGATGCCCAGAGTTTTGAGGGCTTTGTGTTCCTTCAGGCAGAACTTGGAGGCCCTGCGATGTCCATGCCCGCTCCGCCCATCATGCTCCACTTGGCTGAGGTTTTGGGCATGGAAGCGGCCCTCAGATTTGTCGATCTTCTGGAGCTGCCTTTGGGCCACCTGGAAGACCCTGGAGTAGACGAAGACCATGACCACCAGGGGAAAGTAGAAGGACACGATGGAGGAGGCAATGGCATAAGCTTGGTTCGTGAAGAAGTCACAGCAGGTCTCCTTGGCGTAGCAGTTGATGGCTTCCTGGTGGGTGGCCCGGTACCAGTGCATCTGGATGGGCAAGAAGGAGGTAAGGCCTGACACGACCCACACCATCAAAATGACCACCCGGGCCTTATTCTTGGTCAGTAGGCTCTGGTACTTGAAGGGTGATGTGATAGCAAAGTAACGATCCACTGCGATCACGCACAGGGTCTCGATGCTGGCCGTGACACACAGCACGTCAATGGAAGTCCAAAACTCACACCAGAAGTTGCCAAAGGTCCACATTTTCATGAGGATGTGGCTGGCCCCAAAGGGCACCACCGCCAGGCCCATGACCAGGTCAGCACAGGCCAGGGAGGTGATGAAGTAGTTGGTGACCGTCTGCAGACGCTCAAACCTGGCGATGGCTGTGATGACCAGCACATTTCCAAACACGATGGCCAAGACGATGAGCGACATGACGATGCCCATGCCCACCACCCACGCCTCGTTCCGTTCCTGCGTGCCATCTTGGTCCGGCGCGTGGCTTCCGTTGGGCGCCAGCAAGAAGACGCTGCGGTTCCCGGGCTGCCCCATGGCGCGCAGGCTGGCAGGTGAGGGCACTGGCTGCCGGCGCACCGGCCGCGCCTCAGCGGGCGGACCTCCTGCGCGGCGCTGCGGGCAGCGAGTGGACGCCGGGAAGCCTCATTCAGTGGCCGGGGGGTGGCTGTGCTGGGGGCGCGTCCTGCACTCAGCTTGCGGTGTGCTGCGGGCTCCCCGTGCGCGTTGGACCCGGCCGGCGCTCTGGAGAAGCCGCCCCGGAGTGCGCGCTGCCCGTTATGCGCACAGGACTTTAGGGAACTGCCCTCCCGGTGACGTGCGGCAACTTTCGGCCAATGGCGGGCGGGCAGTCCCGAAAGGGCGAGGTCCCCTCCCCTCCCCGCCCTCCCCTCCCCTCTCCCGCCCCCTCCTGGGGCTGGCCCGGGCGGGGCCCAGCTGCTCGCGGGTGGCGGGCGGGCCACCTCTCCCTGCCGGGCTCCCCGGCTGGCCCCGAGGCCTGCAGCTGGGGCTGGCGCGCTCACCCGCCGACCCGGGAGCCTTGGGCTCTTCTGGGGGCTGCTACCTATCTGGCCCGGGCGCCTGGGCGGCCGCTCCCCAGCATTCGGAAACAGAGACGACAGTGCCCACCCAGACACGCACGGACAGGCACACAGGCACCCCGACAGACATGCTGAGACTTATACAGAACCACAGCCACCGACACGGAGACACACCCGTCCCGCGCACGCACAAGCACACTCGCGTGCGCGCGCACACAGAAACCCACAGGCACAAAGTCACCCCTGTCCAACAGAGACGGGGCCAAGAAACAAACACAGAAGCACCCAGAAGCGCAGAGGCATGGGCACACACACAGAAAGAAGTAAACAACACACAAACGCTCGCTTGGGGGGCAGACAGAGCGCCACAGATTCGGACGTCCCCGTCCAGGGTACTCCAAACCCCCTCACTTGTTCATACGACCCCTCAAAATCCCCCTCCCCCCGCAACACACACACACACACACACACACACGCACGCACACACACAGGGCACATTCCCTTTCAAACATTTGGCAGGACCACAGGAGGTGACTTCAACAGCTGCCCGATTTCCTCAGCGCGCTCACTGTCAAGTACTTTTGGTGCCCTCCTTGGGAATTTGCAGGCATTGAGACATACAATTTCAACCCTTGGTTTTCATTCGGAGCTGGAGCTGGGGTATGTAAGTATGCGTTTGGGGACAGAGAGAGAAGGTTGTGCGCTTAAATTTGTAATTCTTGGGAGTGTAGCATCACTCCCTGGTTATCTGTGGGAATGAAGATGAGTTGAAAATGAAATAATTTTCCTTTTAACCTCATCTTCTTCAGCAAGCGCACTGCAACTAGAAAAATCCTTTCATCTGCCATGCAGTTTGTTGATCTGTTGGGTCCAGCCATATGAAATTGCCACTCTTCTGTGGTGTCTAACTTTAAAAGTGTCAATTTTGGCTCAGACTATTAGGATGTTAACATTAAGAAAGTTTTGAAACCACGGGAAAGAAGATAATCTCTCCTTTAAAAAAAAAAAAATCAGACCAAGCCTTCAGACTAGGGTCTTTGTCCAGGAACTATTATCCTTTGCATCTGGCGTATGACTTTACTGTTAAAAAGAAATTAATTTTCAGGGTTTGATTTCACAAGTATTAGTAGCTTCTTTGAAAGACTGAAAGCATTTCATGCAGTGTAACCAAACATACTTTGTAGATTACATAATAACATAACAATGGCTAACATTTAGGGAACATTCTGCTATGTACTTTTCATGCATTATTCCATTTAATCCTTCCCACAGTCCCATGGTGGGGGGAGTACTATTTTTAGCTTAATTCACAAATGGGGCTCAAAGAGGAAAATAGCTTGCCCAAGGGCACAGGGCCAGGCAGTGCCAGAGGCAGGAGATGAACCCAGGTCTTCTTGACTCTAAAACTCATCTTTTCGAAGTACACTGTCATCACATGCAGAGGCGAATGGAGGCTAGACAAGGGACTACAACCAGAACTGGAATACTCAGGTTCCAGACCCCTGTCATAGCACTTTCTAGCTCACCTTCCTTAGGCAAGTCAAAAAGATGGAGCCTAATTTCTTCCATCTCTAAGTGGAGAATAAAGTCACTTCCATTGGGCAGAGTGAGAATGGAATGTATGATAATAAATGTGAAAGTACTTTTGCACATATATATGCCACACAAATATGGGTTATAAATGAAATGTGTACAAATCACTTAGTAGTTTAGAATGTGTTTTAGTCTTCTCTAATAGAACAATCAAATACTTTAGGACAAAAGTAATTTGGGTGTTTACTGTAGAAGTAAAGCTCAGAAACAAAATTTAACCTGCATGCTCCCTTTAACTTCCTTTACCAGCCAGAGATTGTTTTCGCAGGACAGATGCCTTAAAAAGCAAATATTTCCCATAAAAGGCACAAATAGTAATTAAAGATCAATTATGTTCCCATAGTTTTCAAAATATACCCACCCCATATTTGTGTTTTCCAAAATTGGCTCTGGTATGATGCATTTTAGGAAGAAGTCGTGTCTATTATGCAACACAGTTTCTTTAAATATACATTTAGCCCAAATTGTGGAACTAAGCCATTTAAAACCTCCTTCCTGTTTGCGAAGCTATGGAATAAATAAGCATATTGTTTAACCTTCCCATAATGACAACAAAAAGAACAAAGAAAGCCCTTTTAAGACAAACACTAATTGATCATTTAGATGTACATATGAGTCATCTAAAGTTTAACTTTGAATATTTTGGGAAACACCTTTTTAAAAACCCACAAACACTAAATCAAGAGGGGAAGATGACTTATGTCAACGAGGTGGTTCCAGGCTCTTACCCATCAGCTTTCCCAGATGGACAGTCTCTCCTCTCCCCCCCACCCCTTCTCACCTTTTCTTTCTCTCTCCCTCCCTCGCTCCCTCTCCCTCTCCTTCTCTCTGCTGCATCACCAAGCTGGTAGGAATTTCAAGATGCTGTCTTCACACCAAGAGTCTTCTCCTGACCTCCTCTTAGAGTTACAGGAGTAGAGAGAGTTAGAATGGGACAGAGTTTAATAGATCATTCAGTTCATTTCCCCCCACCCCTTCCAGTTTGCAAATGAGGAAACTAAAGTGCAGAAGTAAGAAGGGTCTAGTCGAAGGTGGCAGGCAAGATAAAAGGTCCAGGCCTGCTCCTCACCCAACGCTATCATTTCATTTCCCAGCAGAGTACTTTGGCCCTGCTTGCTCGGCTTGCAGCCTTAGAGACTTAGTGCTTCGGGTGAACTAGGAAGTTCTTAGACTACATGCACCTTTATCTGATGTAAGAAAAAGCAGGGTCTTTTATGGTAATTGATAGTATCTAATTACATGTTTTGTCAATCCCTTAAGACACTGATTTGTCATTTCCTGCCTGCCAAACAGGAAAAAACAAAACAAAACACATTTTGATTTACTGAACAAATGTTTGAATAGGAGTAAGGTTCCATGGTGCCAGGTGATGTCCTCACACCATTAGCTGGACAGCTTAGGAAAATCTTATCCTGTTCTTGGCTTAGAACCCCTTTCATCTTTATGATCCTCTGAACAGAGAAACATCTGTAGATTTCTTTCTAAATAATGGTCTTGAATGTCTGTCTTTAATATCACCTCTGTATACCTTCGTCCCATTAAATTTACATTAAAGGAGATTAAATGCATGTAAAGTGTTCAGCCTCCTCCCTTGCAAAAGAGGTAACTCTTACTGTTCTCTTATTTTTGAATCAAAATGTACATGTAGAATGCACATTGATCTTATCAGATCCTATGTGTGAAAGGACCCTTTGAACATGAGTAATGAGTAATTTGTTTTTAATTGGAATTTCTGTGAAAAAGAATGAAAACAGGGACAAAGCTTGGTGCCTTAGAAAGAAACATGACTGAAAACTTAACCATTACCACTGAGTTATATAATATGCTGGGTGGAATGTTCATGGTTTTTGAATGAAGCATCTTACAGTCTGACCAGCCCCTTACACAATACATGCACCAAAACTCTCAGACAGCTCTATCGAGGGCAAGCTCACCAGAAACCTTCTGCCTTTGTATGTTTCTGACTGTCCAGATAGGGAACTGAAATCCATCTTACAGCTCCTGCCTGTGGATTTTAAGTCTGCCCCCTTGAGGCCACTCAAAACAAGCCTCCTCTCTCTTCCCCAAGACTGTCTCAGGAGAATCCCTTGGAGTTCTCCTGAGCCTTCCCTTCAGCTTAAATATCCCTTGTTCCCTTGGGTTTGGAGACTCCTTTACCATCACGGCAAATCTATTCATACTTGGGTCTGTCAGTGTCTAAACTTAACATCAGTACCTGGAATGATCATAAACAAGTCCTCAAATAATCAATTTGCAGTCACCTTGGCAACCACAAAGAAGCAGAGCAACCAACAAAGCTTTCAGAACAGCTGATTATACCAGATGAATTTAATTTCCTGCTGTGCTAGCGTTTTATGAGAGACATGCTAATAAATTCTCCACGTCTCAGGGGGACTGAACAAGGGGAGATGGCTTAAATGAAAGCAGGAGGGACTTCAGTTTGTCATATGAAGGGCTCCTTGGCCTGAAAACATCCAAAGAGACTAACCTCCAGCAACTTTTCTCAGCTGGGGCTTTGCAAGAGAATTAAACCTTGCAGAAAACGGAGTGACTCTTCTTACCAATTCTCTCAAGAATGGTACCTAACTATTACCCTCCTAGGGATATAAGAGAGAGATTAAGTTGTGCCATCCAATGTAACGGATGCCTTAGGGCATAGGGCTTAATTTTTTTGCTGAATCTGAGGGACATCGCTTGGCATCTCCTGCAGATATGGGAATGAATGGTGTGTGATGATGCGTACTTCCGTGTGATGGACCAGTTTAGTGCAGAGGAGGGAACATGGATTGGGGATCAGGAGACCCAGGCTCTGGGCCCAGAACAGCTATGACGTTACAAATAACCTTAATCAAGTCACCTCCTTTTTTGAGCCCCAATATCCATCCATGACATGAGGTTGGCCTAGGTGACATCTAAGGCCTTCCTATTCTAAGCTGAATGAGGCTGTTGTGGGAAGGAAGCACGTGGAAGGTCACTGAGGAGTTGAGTTCTTGACTCTGAAGCCACTGAGGAGCTGGCGAGCAAAACCTGTCAATATCCTACAAAACAACTTGGCTATGTTCCCCTCCCCACCCCAGACTTCACCATTGCGATTCCTGCTATTCTGAGTAGCAGGTGTACCATTATTTACTAAATATTTTTTTGACATTGAC